AATGGGTGCGGTGCCGCCATGCGAACGCAGCCATTGGGGCCATCGGTGGAGCTCCCTCCAGGGCCACGAAACGTGTGAGGGGTGTGCCGAAATGGGTGCGGTGCCGCCATGCGAACGCAGCCACTGGGGCCTTCGGTCTAGCTCCCTATGGGGCCACGAAGCGTGTCAGGGGTGTGCCGAAATGGGTGCGGTGCCGCCATGCGAAACGCAGCCACTGGGGCCTTCGGTGGAGCTCCCTACGGGGCCACGAAGCGTGTGAGGGGTGTGCCGAAATGGGTGTGTGCCGCCATGCGAACGCAGCCACTGGAGCCCTCGGTGGAGCTCCCTATGGGGCCACGAAACGTGTGAGGGGTGTGCCGAAATGAGTGCGGTGCCGCCATGCGAACGCAGCCAGTGGGGCCTTCGGTGGAGCTCCCTATGGGGCCACGAAGCGTGTGAGGGGTGTGCCGAAATGGGTGCGGTGCCGCCATGCGAACGCAGCCACTGGGGCCTTCGGTAGAGCTCCCTATGGGGCCACGAAGCGTGTGAGGGGTGTGCCGACATGGGTGCGGTGTCGCCATGCGAGCGCAGCCATTGGGGCCATCGGTGGAGCTCCCTATGGGGCCACGAAGCGTGTGATGGGTGTGCCGACATGGGTGCTGTGCCGCCATGCGAACGCATCCACTGGGGCCTTCGGTGGCGCTCCCCATGGGGCCACGCAGCGTGTGAAAGGGGTGTGCCGAATTGGGTGTGCGGGACGCATGCGGGCGGCAGCACTGGGGCCTTCGGTGGAGCTCCCTATGGAGCTACGAAACGCTGTACTTGGTGGGTGAAACGCAGGAAAGAGGGGGTGGAGGGAGGAGGAGGGGGCAGAGGAGGAGGAGGGGAGATCGCGGGGACCGTTTCTTCAAAACGAGGACCCAACATCACAGGATGGTTGGGGAAAAAACATAGGTTTCTTTTCAACATTTCCATACCATGCTAACAAACGGGCCTCTCGCGCGCGCAGGCCGAAATCGCTCGAACGCCCTTGCGCGCGTACTGTCGCAAGAACCCCTTGCAGTAAATGCGACGGCGTTCTTACGCGCGTTTCCTCGCACGCGCATGCCGAAATCAGCAACATCACAAGGATTTCAACAGCGAGTGTCCCGGAACCAAATCAAGCCCAATGGTGTTGCAACATTGGTTTTCAAACAATTCATGCGCTCGTGGTGGTGCCGGTTCGTTTTTCCTTCATATATATAAATGTATATATATATATATATATATATGTATGTGTGTATCACATATGTATATGTCAGGTTCCCCAACATGTTCATTCAATTCTGCCAAGCGGGCCTCTCGCGCGCCGCATGTCGAACTTATTCCAGCGCCCTTGCGCGCGTGTTGGGGGGGGTACGGTCCGTGTCAAATAATACCACGCGGGCTACTCGCGCGTGTCGGCCGCGCGCGCATGTCGAACTCTTGTAAAAACCTTCATCGCCGACGCGGGGACGTCATCATCGTTACCGGCGGGCGTGATCAACATCGGCGTCGTTATCGCCACCATCGTCACCATCATCGCTACTCCCATGATCGTGTCTACCGTTGTCTGCGTCGCCATAATACCGCGCCCACCCAAGTCACCGATTCGGACTGAAGTGCCCGCTGGGCAGTGCCCAGCGGTCAGCGCCACCGCGGCCGCGTCGGTCTCGCCAAACTAGCTGGTCGCTGTGCGCGCACGCGTGCGGGCCAGCACGGCCGCGGAGATGCACCAGCCAACGCCAAGCACTCTTCGCAATCGCCGCCGCATGGGTTTCGCAAACCAAGTTGCGGGCGGGTGGTTGGGATGTTTGCAAGGGCATGGAATTCCAGCGCTCCCAGCGCGAGACCGCAGTGCGCTCCAGGGAGAGCACCTGCGCAGGACGGAGGAGGACGGAACGGAGGATTGATGATGATGTTGATGATGATTATGATGTTCATGGTGCTGATGACGATTATGATGATGTGCGTGGTGATGATGATGATGATACCGATGATGCTGCTGATGATGGTGGTGATGTTGGCGGTGATACTCATTCTGGTAATGCTGATGGTGATGAGGATGCGGATGCATAAACGATGACGGCCTGATGATGTTGATGCCGATGTGAATGATGATGGTGATGGTGATGACGACACTGTTGAGGATGCTGATGACGGTGATGTTGATGATGATCATGGTGATGATGGCGACGCTGACGATGCTGATGATGATGGTGGTCGTGGTGACGATGGTGATGATGACGATGGCGATGATGATGACGATGATGATGATGCTGCTGATGGTAATGCTGATGATGCTGATGACTATGCTGGTGATGATGTTTATGTTGATGTTGCTATGCATGGTGATGCTGCTGCTGCTGATGGTGGTGATGACGATCACGACGACGATGATGATGAGGAGGAGGAGGACGATGATGATGATGCTGCTGATGATGATGATGATGATGCTGATGATAACGAAGAGGAGGAGGAAAACGAAGAGGGAGGCGGAACAGGGGGAAGGGCGCCGGACGAAGAGTAGGAAGTGAAAGAAGAGGCGGGAGAAGAGGAAACCGCAGGAGGAGTAGGAGTAGGAGGAGGAGGAGGAGGAGGAGGAGGAGGAGGAGGAGGAGGAGTGGAGGAGAAGGAGGAGGAGGAGGAGGAGGAGGAGAGAGGAGGGGAGGAGGAAGAGGAGGAGGAGGAGGAGGAGGGGAGGAGGAGGAGGAGGATTGGGGGGAGGATTTGGGCGTCCGTAGCCATTTTGGCTCAAGTGGCCTGGCCCGCCGCGCGCGAGTGAGACCCTGGAGAGTTGCCCCAGGACAAGGGTCTCCGCATCCCTTTTTCAGACACCCATTACTCTGTGTACTGTAAGCTCTCCCTCGGACTCCTCTTTGCTTTCGGGTGCAAGTCTGTCAGACAGACGTGCGAAGCAATGGATGTTCGAACTGCGGCAGCACAGGCAAAACTTGCTGAGCTTGATGCCTGTCCAACGTTCCCGTCGCAGGAGCAGAGAGACAGGAGTGAGGCACGGCGTTGTGCAACAGGTGGCACTACTACTCCTATTCGTCCTCGTGGAGGGTGGCGCAGTGGCCGTCCGCACACAGAACGAGAAGATGGAGACCGAAGTCGCTCCCCTGGAGAAGGAGGAGAGGCAGTATTTCTTGACGTGGACGAGGAGGACTTACGTTCATATGTGGACTCCACGCGTGACCAGCTCATGGCAACCATCGGTGCTCTTCAGACGTCGGTCGGAGAATGTGCGACAACGGTTCATGCCTCTTGTACGGCCCTCAGCAAACAGGTCGAGCAGAAACTCAGTAACGTTGAGAAGCGGCAACGCAGCATGGAGCAGAAGATGCAGGCGTTGCAGGAGAAAGTTGGAAGATTGGAAGCTATTCTGGGTATCATGCAAAACGAAGTGCCGCCAACACCCACGGAGGATAATACATCATTCGACCACAAGGTGGACCCCTGTGCGCTCATCTGTCGGTCTAAGAATATCATCCGCCGCGACGAGTTGGTCAAGAGCGTTGTCGGCCCTATTCTGGAGAAGAACAACATGCAGCTCTCAGAGATCGTCATCGAGAGTGACCCCGCAGCGAAGCGCTTCGTGGTACGTGTATCTGGCAGTGCACCATATGCGAGTAGAAAGATCAATCAGATTCTCAGCAGTTTCAAGATCGCAGTAGCTCAGTGGGAGAGATTCTGTGCCAATGATGTCAACGGCACGCGGGCACAAGTGCACATCTCGACGGACAAGTCCCCGAGCCAGGTACAGCGTGATATTCTCACGAAGAAGATCAAGACGACGTTGGTCAACCTCTACCCAGACCATCACTATCATATTAATAAGCACTTGGGGGAAGTATCCACGCAGTGGAAACCATTGGTGCGAGTTACTCCGAGGGCAGGTGTTGGATCCAAGCCCATCTTCGAGTTCGCTGAGGCCAACCTCGCGTTCTTTGGGATCGATCGCGAGACAGTCAGTGAGAAGCTGGAGAACCTCACCCCGACTCCAGCGCCAGTTGAGTGGCGAGTTTAACCCGATCTTTGCCGCGTGGAGCGGCAGTGATGCAGCTCCTTCTCCGATATCAGTGGGGGCGTGGAATGGCCAGGCCTTATTCCACCACAAAATTCGAGTTCGGACGAAGAAGTTCAGGTACCTCAAAAAGCTCCTGGGCAAGGGAATGATTCTAGGTCTCCAGGAGACTCACGGGACCCTCGCTGAGCTCAGGGATTTCTTCTTCCACCTCCACATGCCCGTCGAGGCGTTTGCGTCGTTCCTAGAGCACGGCGAGAATGCTGCTGGTGGCGTGGTCACTTTCCTCCCTTCGTTCTCCTCTACCCACTCGGAGGAACGTAGACCTTCTGTTTCCGCTGGAACTCTAGTACAGGGCCGTGTGTTGAATGTTCGTGTTTTGTTCCCAGGAGGTGTTCAGGTCTCCCACTGCAACATTCACAATCACGGGTTGACGGTTTTGGAGCGGAACTGGGTCATAGATAAGATCTCCGAGGACTTAGATACAGCCTCCCAGGACCCCATGAAGGTCTTCGTGTTCGTAGGTGGCGACTTCAACTTTGCTGGCGAGCTCCCCCAAGCGCTTAACTCATATGATCCCCCTCCTGCTTCCCCAACTTCGTCGGAGTTTAGATCTTCGGGACTGGGAAGTTGTTTTGAAGAGGATGGTCGAAATCGAGACTTCCCAACGCACTCACCACTGCAAAGCGCAGGGAACTGTCAGCAAGATTGATAGGCTTTTCCTGCCGGCACCTGGATGGTGCATCACGCAGGTGCGCTCTGGCGCTCGAGTCCACGGGCACCCCGAGATCTTGAGTGCCCTGAGGGTCTTGGACCACGCCGGCGTCAGCGCCGCGGTCGGCCCGCGGAAGCCGAAGAGCCAGCTGGAGCGCGGCATCCATCAGGAGATTTTTCGGCGCCCAGAGTATCAGCAATTTCTAGAGAAGGTTATCCCGCTCGCTGAAGACGATGATCTCTCTCCTCTTCTTCTTCTCGCTTTTCACAAGGAAATGATGATCGAAGCTGCTCGTTTCGCTCGAGATCGCACTCTTCGGGGCAGGCCGACCGACCCGCTCTCCAGGTGCATCGCTTGTCGTGCGATTGCCCGTGCTCTTTGGTCTCAGGATATTCAGCTTGCGGAGAAGACTCGGCTCTCGCACCCGTTCGGGGAGCAGTTTTTGGCCACGGACCCGCTCGAGCGGACCGTCAGCCTCAGCGACCCCAATATGTTTCAAGCCGCCTCCGACGGGGCGCGCATGGCCATGTCCGCCCAGGCCCAGGCCGAGGCTAGGCGTCAGCTGCAGCAGGAAGACACCCCCGAATCGGCGCCCCGTAAGTTGAGGAAAAGGCGTAAGAGCTTGCAGATCAGATGTAAACTGCGGTCGCCGTTCGACAGGAAACCGCCTTTGCAAGGCATTCGTGTGTCCCAGGGGCCAAGTTCGGCGCCGAATGTTCGCGCCGATCCTGGGGGCATGATGAATGGACTCTCTGAGTACTGGGGCGGAGTTTTCGCTCGTAAGGAAGTTGATCGCGCTGCAGCTCTTCACTATGTAAATCGTTTCAAGCCCGACGTGAACTTGTCAGATCTGCCGCCCCCGACCGAGCTGGACATTCAGAGCTTCCTGAATAAGGTCCCACAGAGTGCCCCAGGCCCTGATCAGCTGCCATATGCTGCCTGGAGATTCCACCCCAAAGGCTCCCACATCTTGTATCAGGCTCTAGCTTGGTCGTTAGAAGGCGAGGCGCTATTGTTCGGTTTCAATGCCGTAAAAGTGGCGTTCATCGCGAAGGGCGACGAGCCCGACGGCCACCTACAGATGATCCGAGAGGCGTCGAACACACGACCGCTTGGTCTCAAAAACACGGACTCGAAAATCATGACGCCGGGTTGTGTGAAGCCGCTGACGCGGCCCCTCCCGAGGTTTGCGCATAGCTCTCAGAGGGGCTTTGTTCCGTCCAGGAATTCCGGCGTGAACATCATCGAACTCGACGCGCAGGCTCGGATCACTAGTGTAGAACCTGAGGCCCAACTTCGTCGTCCGATCCTGGCATCGTTCGATTATGGACAAGCGTTCCCTTCTATTTCGCGGTTCTGGGTTTTCCTGGTCCTTCGGCAACTTCAACTCCCAGGGCCGCTTCTGGAGTTTCTGGAAATGATATATACTCAGGTCCCTTGTTTTGGACAGGCAGGAGATGCCTTTTTATTATGTACATGATCGAGTCAGGGATCGTCCAAGGCTGTCCAGCAAGTGGAACTCTCCACGCCGTCGCCCCCCACCCGTTCGCTGTTCATGTATATCATCTGATTGAGGCCAAAAACTAAGGTATATCTCGTCTATGTGCAGATGATGTAGGTAGTGTAATATATAGAATTGAAGTGTTACGGCAACTACATGCTGTCTTTCGGGCTTCGAGGCGGGTGGCGAATTTAGAACTTAAGGTGCGTAAATGTAAGATAGTCCCACTTTCTGGACGGTTTCCCCCTGAGCTTGAGCGGGAGTACAGAACCTCGACTGGGCGGGCTTTCAAATTGTCTCGAAGCTTATGTATCTTGGTTTATATCTCGGGCCGCCTGCCCAGATCCCTCGTGGGATGGACCTATCAAGAAATGGATATCGCGTGCGAAGGCCATTGCAAAGAGCGGGGCGCCCTCGCCGATTGCTGCGGCGCAATGCGACTCTAGGGCCTTATCCTGTTTGGGGTGCGTCGCTCAGTTTTGTCCGCTCCCCAAGCAAGTGCTTGCTCGTGAACATGCCCTCTTTGCGGCCATATTTAAGATGCCACGCTGCTCTCTGTCGCGCCAGGCGTTCTTTTCGATGTCGAGTTTGGGGTGGCCCTCATCTCCGCTCGGCTCTGGTTCTAAGCTTAGCGTCGCGAATTCGAGCGGCACTGAGCGCGCTCCCTGAATGGCGGCTAAGTTATGATAAGCTTTCGGAGGCCGAGGTTTATGTCAGTTTGCAGGACATTTTAGAGCGCCGCCGATCTCCCAATTTTTGGCAGGAGCCTCCGATCGTGGTAAGTATGCGTGAGGCGGCGCATGGCTTCCAGACGTTGCCCTTGCATGCTGGCGCTGGTGCGCTAGCGGCACAGTGTGCTAGAACTGCTTTGCGTGAGAAGAAAAAGGTTCAGGCTGCTGCGGGTGCAGCGCTCAGAGCGCCATTCTCCCCCCCCCCCGACCTCGCTTCGTCCTTTCGCGCTCGCCCCCCCCGCCTTTTCCCAGAGCTCGAAGAAGCTGAGCTTGCGCGGGTCGAGTGGGCGGAAGTTCACGCCGTCACTCTTCGGTCCCCTTCTGCATGGAGGAATGCAATTATAAAGACTCTCTCGGGGGCGTGGGCAACGGATCGACGATTCCAGCAGGTGTCCCGTCGCTGCATGTCTGGATGTGAAGATGAGCCCGATGATCAATCGCACTATTTAAATTGCCCTAAGTGCTGTGCTCTGGTAATTGGAATTAGAAGCCACCCGCCCCCCGAAGACGCCCTCACTCGTTTCGGTCTCATTCCCCCTACAATATGTTGTATGTGGTTGCCTGTTTTTATTTATGGATTCTCGCCTCGCATCTCCCGAACCCTCTTAGTGAAAGTGAAGAAGTAGGTCTGATCCCCCAATTTAGAGTGTCTTTGTTTCGCACCCTGGAGCCCGATCAGCCCCGCCCAAGCAGTTCGGCGTGGACTGCATCGCGCACAGCAAGGCCTGGGGGTAGCGACGGTGGTAGCGGCGGCAGTGGTTAGGACGAACTGGCGTGGAGTACGAGCGCAGGAGGAGGATCTGGGCGAGGAGTCGGAGGGAGAGGTTCGGCCACGGGGCAGGATGAGGAGGGGGAGGACTGGGGGAGCGATCAAGGAGGCGATCACGAAGGAAGGGGCGCGGAGTGAGAGAGAGGCGGCCGCTCTTTAGACGACGTCGGCGGGCAGCGGGAGGGGCACTGGGGACACCAAGGAGGCGAGTGTCGACCGGTGGCGAGGGAGAGGCAGGTGGCGCGAGTGAGGACGACGGCGACGAGAACGATGGGAGCGAGGATATTTAATAAGGAAGTGCCAGGCCTGGTCCAGGATGATGACTACTGTCGGTTCGCGTCGCGCCAGCCGGCGGCGACCCCGCTGCTGGCGTTCAACGTGGAGTGCCACCGGCGACCCAGAATCGGTTGATGTTGAACCATCGGACGTTTCGGAAACGGCCGATCGTTCAAGGCCGACCGATCCCCGCGGTGTCAGGAACCAGCGCCAGGGTCGACACGACACGAACCTGCCGTATGATAAGGCAAGGTGGCATGAGGTCGAGGAGGATATGGGGAGGAGTAAGATGAGAGAAAAGGCGGATGCGGGTGACGGCGACAACAAGGACAGCGAATTGAAGAAGGAGGGGGAAGACGAGGAGGAGTTGCCTCTGGTTCGCCGAACGGCGGCGCTGCAGGACAAAAAGTACGCCATCCAGCTGGCCTGAGCGCTTCTTTGCTGGCTTTTTCATGCATTCATTGGGAAGGTGTGGGTTCACACATCGTGCTGATTGGTTCAAGGAGGATCATCACTGATGTCGCAGCTACTGCTGGCGAGTGGCTTCTCATCCCAGCGGACACTTCAGATGTTCAGAAGTTGTCGCCATGCTGCCAAGCGTTCCTCTCTCTCTCTCCCCCTCCCTCTCTCTCTCTCTCTTTCCAGCGTCCACATGCTTCCGCTTAATCTTTCTGCGTCGGTTCGGGTCCAGATGGCAAGAGGCGTCGTCGCAATGGCTGGGGTTTGCGGGAGGTTTGAGCTCAGCGGTTCGAAGGAAAGGTGCTCGAAGAGGAGTTCAATGAGCGATTGCAACGAATCGCGCCCTCCCTTTCCATAGTTGCTTAGAGGCCTTGGGCCCATCCCACCACCGTTCCCGTGCTGTTGGTCAAGTCAAAGGGTCAGGGAAAGCACGGGTGGGATTCAAGCGGGCTTCTAGGATGTCGGCCTCTTGGGGGTATTCTGGAGCCTCTGGAGCTCTTGAGGTCCTCTCGTGAGCCATTTTGGGGCTTTCTGGGTTCCTTTGGGTTCCTTTCGAGCGCTGGAGCCAGTGCTGCGTGGAGGAAGTGCTCGTGCGGCTCGGGGCTCTGAGTAGCCTGGAGCCTCGCCTCGCGCTGGGGACGCTTGGATCGTGCGGCCTGGTGGCGGGATCCGCCAGTGGGGGGCCTCTTGGGTTCCTCTGGGGTGCTCCTGGGGGGGAGGAGGAGGAGGAGGAGGAGGAGGAGGAGGAGGAGGAGGAGGAGGAGGAGGAGGAGGAGGAGGAAAAGAAGGATCAGGAAGAAGAAGAAGAAGACGAAGACAAAGA